GAATTTTCCAAAGATAATTGTCTAATAAAAAATGAGCTCACAAATGAAGTTGCACTCACTGCAAAAAGGCGAAGAACATGTATGTTGTTTATTGGAGTACAAGCAAAGATTCAGTGTGCTTAATGGCCAGAAATTCGAATGAAGCTAATTGGGAATGACACAGAAAGCTCAACCACTTAAACTTCAAGACTATCAATCAACTTGCAAAGAAAAATCTTGTTGAAGGCTTACCAGACATTATCTTCAAGAAGGACCAAGTTTGTGATGCATGTCAACGCGGAAAGCAAATCAAATCATCATTCAAGTCAAAAACACACGAGTCATCATTCAAGTCAAAAACACACAAGTCATCATCAAGACCGCTAAGCTTACTACACATGGACTTATTTGGACCGGTCGATCCAATAAGTGTAAGTGGTAAGAAATATACACTCATTGTTGTTGATGATTTTTCCAGGTACACTTGAACCGTATTCTTCAAGAAGAAAAATGAAGTTGAGCAAATTTTACCGAAGGTGTTGAAGCAACTCCAAAATGAGAAAGAATTACAAATATAAAAAATACGAACGGATCGAAGAACCGAGTTTGTGAATGGCGTTATACAAGCTTTTTGTAATTCACAAGGAATCTCTAATCAACTATCTGCCGCGAGAACACCACAACAAAATGGTGTTGTCGAAAGAAGAAATCGGGCGCTCAAAGAAGTCGCACGAGTGATGATAAGTGCAGCCGGTCTCCCGAAACGATATTGGGCGGAAGCTATCAATACTGCTTGCTACACGCAAAATCGAAGCATGATCCATAAGCAGTACAAGAAGACGACATACGAGCTATATAAAGGGAGAAAACCAAATATTGGTTATTTTCATATTTTTGGGTGCAAATGCTTTATTCATATTAATGATAAATTGCATCTAAAAGCTTTTGATGAGCGTGCGGATGAAGAAATTTTTCTAGGATATTCGACTACCAGCAAAGCATTCAGAGTGTTGAATAAAAGAACCATGGTGGTTGAAGAATCCATACACGTTGTGTTCGATGAAAAATCACGAGTCAATGACACATTGGGCGAAGAAATTGAACAAAATGGTAACAAGTGTCATATTGATTGTTGTGATACTAATGATACGTGTGAAGATGATGTTTTGCAGGAAATTGATGAGTTGGAAATTAATTCTCAAGAAAATACCATCCATCATCCAGAAGAAGTTGGAAATTCATTTAATAATAATTTTGGAAGTGAAGCTACATGTGAGAATGGTGATGCAGTACGGGTTGAAGTTGGAGATCCAGTTGGTGATCAAGTTAGAAGAGAAGTTGGTGATCAATTTCAAGAAGAATTAACTGGAGAAATTCGAACCAACACTGCCAGTTCACAACAAATGGATCCACCCAATACCATGCACCCATTTGAACCAGATTTAAGATGGCTCAAAAATCACCCTCCAAAATTTATTATTGGAAATGTATGTGACGGCGTGAAAACAAGATCATCTACCATGGAAGCATTGTTCACGTGACGAAGTGGACAAAGCTCTTAATGATCTAAGTTGGATAGATGATATGCAAGAAGAGCTCGATCAATTCAAAAGAAATGATGTTTGGGAACTTGTTCCAAGACCAGCGAACCACAATGTTGTAGTAACCAAATGGGTCTTCTGGAACAAAGCAAACGAATAAGGCGTGATTGTTAGGAATAAAGCAAGGCTCATTGCAAAAGGATACTCTCAAGAAGAAGGAATAGATTTTGATAAAACCTTTGCACCGGTAGCCAGACTCAAAGCTATAAGGATTTTCCTAGCATACGCCGCACACAAAGAGTTCACCGTTTATCAAATGGACGTGAAAAGCAAATTCTTGAATGGACTACTCGAAGAAGAAGTTTATGTCGAACAACCCCCAGGTTTTGAGGTAAAAGACGAAGGTGATAAAGTCTACAAACTTAAAAAGGCATTGTATGGGTTGAAACAAGCATCTAGAGCTTGGTATGATACTTTGTCAATGTTCTTGATAAGCTGTGGATTCACCAAACGCCTTGTTGACAAAACTCTATTTAGAATTCAAGATGGTGATCATATTTTATTAGTGCAAATCTATGTTGATGATATTACTTTTTGAAGCACTAACAATTCTTTGTGTGAGAAATTTTCAAAGCTTATGCAGAATAAGTTTGAAATGAGCATGATGGGTGAATTGAATTATTTCTTGGGATTACAAGTCAAACAATTGAAGGAAGGAATATTCATAAATCAAGCAAAGTACACCCGCAACTTGATAAAGAAGTTTGGCCTTGATGGAAAATCATCGATCAAAATTCCAATGAGCACATCATTAAGGCTAGACAAAGATGAAGATGGAAAGGATGTTGATCAAACAAAATATAGAGGAATGGTTGGTTCTCTTCTATATCTTACTGCAAGCAGGTCGGGCATTTCTTATGCTGTGGGAGTGTGTGCAAGATTCCAAGCAAATCCTAAAGAAAGCCACCTCACCGCAACAAAGAAGATCATACGATATTTGAAAGGCACAATCAATGTTGGATTGTGGTATCCAAAAGGTACAGATTTTACTCTAACGGGTTTTTCAGATGCGGATTTTGCAGGTTGCAAAATAGACAGAAAAAATACTTCCAGGACATGCCAGTTCTTGGGGGGAGGCTTGTTTCTTGGTTCAGCAAAACGCAAAATTCCATCGCAACTAGTACCGTCGAGGCCGAATATATTGCTGCAGGAAGTTGTTGTGCGCAAATTTTGTGGATGAAGCAACAATTGAAGGATTACGGAGTTAATTGTGATGACGTTAGTATTTATTGTGATAATACTAGTGCAATCGCTATCACTCACAATCTGGTGCTTCACTCAAGAACCAAACATATCGACATTCGACATCATTTCATAAGGGATCACGTTGAAAAGAAAAATATCAAGATCGAATATATCCCTACGGAGAATCAAGTTACTGATATTCTCACGAAGCCTTTATGCGAAACGAGATTTGCTACCTTAAGGAACGAATTGGGAATGATCGAAATGAGCTAAGTATCACTGGACTTAATCTCTTGATTTAAATTGATACTTGTGCTCAAAATAATGTGTTTTACGTGATTGCATGCATATATATATATATATATATATATATATATATATATATATATATATATATATATATATATATATATATATATATATATATTCGAAATTTTGTGTGATAAAATTGCAAAATGTGTTAAGAATTTATTTGTGTATTTGCATGTGTTATTTAACATGAAATCATATGCCATGCAAATTAATTTGATAAAATGTGCAATTTGTGACTAATTGATAATTTGTTGATTTAAAATTGCATGATTAAACTTGTGATTTGGACTGCAAGTATTTGTGCATGGTTGTGTTAATCAAATGATTTAGTTGCATGTTCAATGTGTTTTTAGCATGATATATATGTGTTACGTGCTTATGTGATTTATGTGATAAAATTTGCTATATAAATGTTCTTAGAAATTTGGTATGAAAAATAATTTTGTTAGTTTCTAAAATGTTTAGAATCTGATTTGTGCGCAAAAATTATGTGAAGAGATTTCTAAATGTTTATTTGGAAAATTTGTGGTAATTTTGTTAATTTCCAAAATGTGCTTATTTGATTGGAGATTACTGTGCGGGAAATAAATATATATGGTTGTGTGTTGATTATTTATGGATGATTTTTGCTACTAACAACCTTTTTGAGTGTGATTATATTTGTGGTACACGTTTTTTAGAAGGAAATCAGGAGATAGGAGGAGATCAAAGTTTAATTTGGAACCAAACCTTCACCCATAAACTCCTACCCAATCTAAACCTCCCCCCATACTCCCCTCCTAAATCAAAACGCTTCCCCAACCGATTCTATAATCGTCACCCACATCTCCCCTCAGCAAAATCACCTCAATCGTCCCTCATATATTTGACATTAACTCTCCTTGAAACCGCTACCCATCAAATCTCTTCCCATCCACTGCCTTCTCGACCAATGAAGTGTCATGCAAGCATACATTACACCTCTTGAAATCAAACGACGGTTGAACCCAAAAGAAACCTTTCAACCCCTACATCATTAGCTCACATGGTTCTAGCACATTCCTAGGCCTATAAATTAGGAACAGAAGCAAACAAGTCGGTGTGGAGATTTCTTTTGCTTGTATCTAATTTTGCAGGTTTTGATGGCTCCGAAGAATCAAGGAAGTAGAAGGATGTCCAGGAGATTGACCGAGCAAGCAAGACAAGAGATGCTAAGAGCTCGACATGCTGCAAATGGAGGACATGAAGTCTGTGACACACCAAGTGATCCTCTCATCCTATTCTTTGAAGAAGAGAAAACACAACAACCGACCAAAGATCAAGTTCAAAAAGGTCAAGAAGTCTCAGCAGTGCAGCCACGATACTCAACACCATCACCCCTATTATCTCGACCTCAAACCCGCAACTTTAAGTGATCTGCTCGACCTCCAGCGGAACCCGGATTCGTTTATGCTTTGAAATCAAGTTCTCCATCTCCACCGCATGCTGATTTTGAGGACTAATCACAGCACTGGCTTCTCTACCAACAAGGCCTGAATGATGTTATCTGGAAATGTTATCTCTCTCTCCCTAAGAAGGAGATAAATAAAAATGGTTGATTTTGCTATTGGTTCTCTCTATCTCTCTCTCTCCTACAAATGAAAAATCCCTAAGTCTTATAAAAAGAACAAATGTTTCGTAGCCAAGAAGATGTTGGGAAAAATAGCAACGTCAACGCGCGATCTGGAAGCCTTTTAAGAAGCACGGACACTATTGGTGTATGGTTGAAAGGAAATCTGTGCCGTGTTATAATAACACTACCTTAAAAGCGTTATTTGCCCGGTAACGGTGCAGTTAGAATCCTGGCACGCTTTCGACAGGCTACACAGACCTACTACGGATAGCTTGCACTAGCAATCACGTAGGCGAACCTCACTATTGCTCAGACGAAGGGAGGGGGAAGGAGAATAGAATAAATGACTCGAATTCAAGGTGTGTTTTGAAACGATGTTGGGAGCTGCTATTTATAGTAAGCAGCCCCTCCATCCCTTCCACAAAAGTGGAAGGGATGTGCATCGTCCACAACTAAGCGCCATATGCGCTGTCCACAAGAAGAGTGCAAAAGGCGCTATACCACCTACAACACTAGCCACACAAAGTTAAGCACATTCTCCAAACTTCATCTTTAATTTTCCAACAATCCCCCACAAATTTAAAGAGGAAAGGAAAAGGGTAAAGTCTGAGCAATACAAATGAGTTGATCTTAATGTCAGTGTTTGAGAACTTGAACTGACACGTAGTGACACTGAGTAATTTTCTTCCCGGGAGTGATGTGAATCTTGAACTCACCGGTTAGATAAATTTTGAACTCGAATGCACACACCAACTCAAAAAGCAGGTTCTACAAAAGTCAAACTCTTTGACTTCTTATGAACACCCTTAGTATTAAAGAATGTTATGTCTGTCTCAAATATGGACTTCTACCCTGTCAAAGTCTATCACAAAATAGACTTTTAACTCTGACAAGTCTTACCGCATTACAAATTTTTATGTCTTATCAAGTCTATCTCAATATAGACTGTTAACTCTATCAAGTCTATCTTAATATAGACTACCATTAAAGGCTTATAGAGTAGTTGAGGACATAAATCAGTTGTAAGTCTTTTCTTTCTATCATAGGCTGTTATTTGCAATGCAAACGACAGTTTGTGAATCACAATGTGGTGAAGATGTTGGACACCCCCACAATTACACGGTTATCACCATGTTTCTTAGCCACTCAGCTTCTTGGGATAACCCCATTATCTTTCATAAGAGGCGGTTAGCCCTTTTCTACTCAAGTTAGGGATCTCTTTAGGTCTATCTCAACATAGACCATGGTAGCCCTTTTCCACTCAAGTTAGAGATCTCTTTAGGTCTATCTCAACATAGACCATCCCAATTGAGTATAAGAGGCTAAACTTCCAATGTGGGACAACATGGATAGGAAAAAGGAAGCCTTTCCTTTTAAATGCTCCCAACAATCCCCCACCATTAAAGGGACTTAGGCTGATGCTGTCATTGCCTGACAACGATCAAAACAAATTTTCATGCCAGTGTATAAAACTTGAACTGTCATATAGTGACATTAAGGGGGCGTTTGGTTCAGGTTATATAACATAACCAAGGGAATGTGACATTCCAAAGCTCACATTCCGGTGTTTGGTTCATATTATCTGAGGGAATCTAACATTCCCAAGGAATGTCACATTCCCTCCACATAGGATTTTGAAGGGAATGTGATTCCCTTCAAAATCTTAGGTAATGTAAGATAACTTTGGTTATGTTAGTTTATTATTATTATTATTATTATTATTATTATTATTATTATTATTATTATTATTATTATTATTATTTTATATATATATATATATATATATATATATATATATATATATATATATATATATATATATATATATATATATATATATATATATATATATATATAAAATTATTTTTGTAATTATATATATTTTTTATTTTTATTATGTTATGTTAGCATATAAAATAATTTTGTTTCTCAAGTTCAAGATTTTAGTTAATATTTTAAAATCATGTAATTATATATGATACCGTTATCTTATTTATTTATTTTAATTTTTAAATTTATTAAAATATATGAAAATATGTTAAGGATATTATAGTGTATATAAAAGATAACCCTAAACCAAACATCATTATATTACATACCCCAACTTTAACCAAACACAGGAATCTAACATTCCCAGTAATCTAACATTCCTAGCAATCTAACATTCCCTAAGGTAATCTGACATTCCGTGAACCAAACGACCCCTAAGTACTTCTCTAAACGGGAGTGAATTTGATCTTGAACTCATCGAATAGACAAAGTTTGAACTTAACGCACTTAATTTGCTTTGGTCGCTTTAAAATATGTGAGGTCATACTCTTGACCCTGAGATATCCCCTGTTAGGTCTATTCTAGGATAGACCTTCAACTCTGTCAAGTCTACCTCAACGCAGACCACCATGACTGGCTACAGAGTATCTATGGGCACCACGAGCACTTTGTACTCATGTCATTATGCGGTGAATTCATTAGGTTTGTCTCAACAAAACCACCCTTTCTCAAAGAGTTATGAATTCATTAAGAGTTGTAGCTCAACCTCACATGCGGTGAATTCATTAGATTTGTCTCAACAAAATCACCCTTTCTCAAAGGATTATGAATTCATTAAGAGCTGTAGCTCAACCTCACACGTACACACACTGTCGGAATGACCAACTAGTGTACTATTTTGTAACTGTTTCCATGGTTTCGTTTGACCACAGAAGTGGGATCCACCACGAATTCATTACCACTTGGACTTTAAGTCCTTCCAATGAGTCAACGACTAATCCTCATAATTAGCCCTCAAGTAAGTTGATTCTCTTGACCAAACTTACATGCACTTTGACGAGTACTTCGTTTACTCGTAAATAATCCCTTGAGATTTTCATGTTTAACATGACACATTCTCTTTCATCATTATTCTCAATACCACAGAGAAACTTTTGATGAAAATATATGGAGTTTATTACCCCACAAAGCAACACTTACAAATATTTTTGTCAAATGTATTTGATCTCTTACCCAGACTGATATTTGGTGCCCATCATTAGCTCCTTTGTAGACTGAGTTTTGCCGACTTGCTTTGTGGAGCATTATAGAAGCTTCGCACTCTGCCTGATACATGCTCAACAGTTGATATTTCAACAAACTTGGTTATCTCAATTGATCACAATTACCCTTTAATTAGGAATTATAGGTATTTCAATATGACTCAACCAAGAGTTTAAATAATATATGTATAAATGCTCATTGTTAGTAAGCCATAGAAATAATGTTGTTCACATGCTACATGAAGTTGAACAATATAATCACAAATTTCACATCATATTCTTATAAGAAATTAATCTCATACACAAGGAATATGTTCGAGTTCATATTTATTCGGAATATCTCTCAACAATGAGACTTCAGAGTTGCCACTAGCACAATTTTTTCCTTCCCTTAAGGAATTTAAAACTCATATAAAGCATTCATAAGGTGCAGATCAACATTGCAGTACTTCAACAACTTCTATTGCAAGGCTTTGATTGTATTAGCAACATATGAAAGTCAACCTCATTTCAGGTAAAGATCAAGTGGCGCTCTAACTAGCCTGCATGATCAACACCCTACTTCTGAAAACTCCCAGGTCGAGTGGTGAAACCGAAGTTTACTTAAAAACCATCTTCCTAGACAGAGTGTTCAAGAATGATGACTTTTCCATGTTCTGACTAAATTACAATTGAAGCTTATGATATATGCTCTTAATTTTATAACAAATAATTTTTGGTAAAAAGTTTGAGCAATGTCTATGCACGAATTATTTCAATCAATGTCATTAGTATTCAAAATACTAAAGAAATAAGTACTGCTAAGTAATCAAAATCTAGACAGCTCAACTAGAATTCAATACTAAGATAACCATACTTCATGCGAACCCTTAGAACTAGAGCAAATATAGTTACTCAAAATAACTATTTATTTAAAGAAACTCAATACTCATCTTGCTCTGTCAGATTGACTTTTGCTAGTTTTGCCCTTGTGATGGTAGCACTGGTGTGCTCGGTGTCCTTGCTTTCTGCACGCAAAACACCTTCCCTTAAACTTCTTGATTTTTCTACTCCTTTCGTTGTAGACGGTTCTGACACTTTGATTTTCAGTTCCATTGGCACCGTACTTTTCTGACAGTGATTCCCAAATGACTTTTGCCGAATCTTGTTTGACATAGATGTCGAACAAATCGTCATTCATTTGTGACAGCAGGTATCCTCTGGCTGCCGCATTGTCATTTCTAAATTGAATCAGAGTTACACCCGGTTCTTGACCCGGAATGTAATCTATTTCAGGACTGCTTTCTCTCGATTCTTCACCCGGAGTGTAATCTGGTTCATGGTTACATTTTGTAGCACTAAACGGAGAGAACACTGTTGGAGTAGGTTCAGGTGCAACTGAATATAGCACGTAAACCAACTTTAATTGTTCGAAAAGAATAAGCATTCTTTTAGCCCACCTACTGTAATTTTTCCCATCAAGCGCGGTGATTTTTGATAGATCCGGTATGACAGAAAGTGCCATAATGCTCAAGGTTGACTGTTGCAGAATAACGCTTTTAACTGTTGGGAAAAATAGCAACGTCAACGCGCGATCTGGAAGCCTTTTAAGAAGCACGGACACTATTGGTGTATGGTTGAAAGGAAATCTGTGCCGTGTTATAATAACACTACCTTAAAAGCGTTATTTGCCCGGTAACGGTGCAGTTAGAATCCTGGCACGCTTTCGACAGGCTACACAGACCTACTACGGATAGCTTGCACTAGCAATCACGTAGGCGAACCTCACTATTGCTCAGACGAAGGGAGGGAGAAGGAGAATAGAATAAATGACTCGAATTCAAGGTGTGTTTTGAAACGATGTTGGGAGCTGCTATTTATAGTAAGCAGCCCCTCCATCCCTTCCACAAAAGTGGAAGGGACGTGCATCGTCCACAACTAAGCGCCATATGCGCTGTCCACAAGAAGAGCGCAAAAGGCGCTATACCACCTACAACACTAGCCACACAAAGTTAAGCATATTCTCCAAACTTCATCTTTAATTTTCCAACAGAAGGTACAGAAAAAAAAAAAAGGAAAAATATATGAATAAAAAAAATTTTAAAATTACTGTTATGGCTACAAGAAGGGATAAAAGAAGAAAAGAATTAAGAGGAGAATTGTCAGAAGAAGTAAGAGGAGAAGTACCAGTTGAAGTTACAGTAAAAGTTGATACTAAGAGTAGACAACCAATCAAAGAGGAACTTTCAAGTGTATTGGCAGTGCACAATACTGAGTCCACCATGCCTATCGTGGACCCTTTTCTAGAAAATGAAAAGTTATTTGCAGACACCTGTACCAGAACAGAAATTCTAGAAGAAGAGATTGGTGATCTGAATCAAGAAGTTGAATCACCTGAAGAAGAAGAGATGCAACTCGTTTATACACCCATTCTTACTAATTTGCGAAGGAGTCTATTCGGATCTCCTCAAAATATTGTGCAGACAAATGATCAAGAAGATGGCATATTTACCTCTTTATTTGCCAAAGTTGCCGAATCCAGTGATGTTGTTTGTCAAACCATTGGAGAAAAATTGGTTGAATAAAGTCAATTGATGGAACAACAACACACGGATACCCGAGTCAATCTCAAGGAACTAATGGAGTATCAAAACAGTTTGAAGACTCAGATTGACAAAGCAGAAAGAATCTTGAATGGAGAATTGACAAAAGGATTATTTGATGTAATCCAACTTATGAAGAAGGAACGTGAAGCTGTTGAAAAGATTCATAATGAACGACACCTGAGACAACTCAAAGCTATTCAAGAACAAGAAAGCCGAATCAACAAACTTAAAGTTGAGTTAATAATTGCAACAAACAAGCTGGACAACGTACAAGCTGTTTCTATTGAAACACACAATAGTATTGAAACTGTGAAGACAAACCAAGACCGAGATTCTAAGACCCTTGTATTTTTTGTTGATAACGCCAAAAGGGGGGAAGAAATTCTCAGTCACTTGGCTTTGCAACAACAAGAATTTATTCTTGGAAGTCAACAACAGCCAGTTACACCGACCCAAGGTCGAGGCCAAAGCCGCGGACAATCCTCACAAGGACAATCTCAGATTGGTTTTGCTCAGTTCGCGAGAACTAGTCTTGGTACGAGTACATCAAAGGTTACTGAAACTCGTGGCTGGTTTGAATGCTCAAAAGGTCCCGCCACTCAGCAAACAATATGAACTAAGGAAAATCTACCAAGCATGATCAAGAAATGGCCTGCAGCCGATCAAGCCCAATGGATCTCGGACAAGAATAAAGAAGAAGAAGCTAAAAGGAAAAGAACTGAGATGTGGTATGAACTCAGAGATTTTACAGGAAACATGGGCATGAACCTTGGAGATGAAAGAAGCTTCGAAGAATGTGTTGTATGGTGGGAAGCAGGAGTTCTTCCGGGCACTAATATTAAAGAAGCTTTTGGATATTACATGGCTGGACAAGTTACAAAGAGATTTCAGAATGCAAAGTTCAAGGATGATATCTTCAAGCTAAGGGGACATGTCAAGGAAATTTTGAAGAAAGACATAGGTGTCAAGAAACCCAAAAGGTAATCTGGATATTCTCTTAAACTGATATTTTTGCTATTTTCGAACCTCTGTTGC